ATATATATATATATAATGAAATAAATAGCTTTAATACTATTATTTACATTAATTACAGTAATTGTTAGTGGGTGATTATAATTAGCACTATAAAACTATAATGAACTTAATATAAAATAAGCATTAAGAAGTTTTTTTGCAAAATCCATTGTAAATCCCAGTTGTCATTTTAAAGTCATAATAATGGATATTGTCTGTGGTAATAGTTCTTAAATGCATTGGGGATATCCCATCTACCAGACAAAATCCAAACGCTAATGTTAAACTCACCAGTAATCATGGAAAAATCAATTAAGGGTATGGAGTTGAATACTTACAACCACAATGTCTCAACTCCTACTGCCTTTCACAAGCTGCAGGTTGTGGGAAGGCAGTTACCCTTAAAAGTAGAAATGAAGTAAAACAACCTTGATGCTTCTACTATATGTCATTCCCAACCTCTACCCTTACAAAATAAATGAATTAATAAAAGGTGTTAAATATAAAAAAATATATATTCATATATCAGAAAATTTCTCTCCAAAACAGTACTACCTCCTATCACCCAGAGCTATCTCGACCTTCATTTGCCCTCTAGGCATTTGTGAGCTTTTATGAAAGCACATCAGTCTTTTATACCCCTATATTTTTTGCATCATTGCAGCAACATGTGTTGATCATGTGACCCCTTCACCAACCCCTTTGCACCCTCTATACTAGGGCACAATCCTCCCTTTCTCGATTACCACTACAGTGTTTAGACATGTATTTTCAGTTGTTCTTCGAGTGAATTTTGCTATGATTTTGTGGGTTTTCTTGCTAGTTTTCTCTTTTAGTTGGTACTTGTTCATTTAGTAGTTCTATTTTTTTTTCTTCAAAAGTTCATGTCGACTTATTAATTTGAATTTTCCTATGGTGGATGAAGAAGTTCCTGCCAATATGGATAAAGCTCATGTCACTAGTCCCTAGCATGGCGAGTTGCTGATGTTAGCTGAGGAGATTCAGGTGTTAGTTCAGCAGGAGTTGGATGATTTTGCTGCTTCCTCTGTTCATTCTCCCTTCCCCCATAACCACACTTCTGAGGAAATTTTTTCTCAGGGGAAGGACAATTTCGGCTCTTTTGGGGGGGGGGGGCAGTCACATAACGCTGACAGTCAAAAGAGTCTGCCGACTACTCTTTTTTTTTTACACCTTATTGATCAGGTTTGTCAAATTTTACATGTCCCCTTTAGCCCTTGATTCTTCTATTTCTTCCGTGCTAGGAGAAGAGCCTCATTCAGATTATTGTTATTTTCCTCCCTCTCCTGATATTCTTGTTCATGCTCAACGTTTTGCAGCTCAAGTACAAGTCGGGAGTGGGTATGCCTCACCCCCCTCAGCTTTCGGACAAATGCTCTTTTGCTTACCAATGTGCCTCAAATTCCTATTTGGATTCTCAGTATTTAGATCCTCTCTTTCCCTTGTGGGATTCTAATCCTGATGCCTTGGTTCATTTTAATAGGTTCCAGTTTACTACAATTTGCATTACATTGACCAATCTTTTACATATTCTTTCCTCTTTACAGTTGTTGTCTCGGGCCTTCCACCAGTTTCCTGATCAGTTCTTGGCCAATCTCTGGACTCACCTGTGGTCTACTATGGCCCAGTTGTTGGCTTCAGCCTTGTCCCTCGCCACTTGGATTTTGTGTTGTTGCAATTTACTTGGGAAGGATGCTTTATTTGCAGGGGTGCGTCTCTCCCTTTCATCATTACGGAAACTTTGTCAGACCCCGTTTGTGCACAAACTGTCTTTGGAGTCCAGGGTCAATATGGCGAGATTGCATTCTTCTTTTTCCTCCCTTGCTTCTCATTTGTCTTGCCCTACTGATTCTTCTCAATTTTTGCCTGTTTGAATGCCTTATGCACCTTCTTCTTTGCCCCACCCTTTCCCTACTCCAGACATTCCCTTCCTTATGCCCTTTCCTGTTCTTTCGGCCTCACTTTTATCAGTGACAGGATGTCTTTCCACAGGCAGGTGGGGGCCAGGTTACAACTCTTTTCGTCCATCTATAAATCCTTCGTGACAAATCCATGGGTGTTACGGGTTCTGTCAGGGAATCTATGCATTCAATTCCAGTCCCTTCTTTCCCGGTTTCTTTTCCTCCTCCTTGGGATCATGTCTTGTCCAGTCATCTAGCAGTCAGTTCTCAATCTTCTTCATAAGGGTGCTGTAGAATGTGTGGTGCCTGCTCATCTGGGTTTTTATACTTATATGTATGTATGTATATAAACTACAAAAATCTGTGTGTCTGTCTGTTTGTCCATTGTCTAACTACTTGTAAGTTGCTGTGCCAATTTCAACCAAACTTTTGTGGGAGGATAGTTTGGAACAAGGGGTATGTTAGTGGGGGATCAATAACTCCCCTCCCTACGTTATTGCTGTTTTGGGGCATTTATTGTGTTTGACATAAGTTAAAGTTAACTGCATTCACAGATGGTGCAATATGCTTACACTAAAAAAACTATTAAATTTTTTATAACACAACATAAACACAGTATGGGGAAGGGCACACAAACGTCTTGTATATCTCAGAGAGTGTGTTAGCTCTCTATGGAGGAAGGCAATCAAAAAATTACACCAGTATTGCAATAATACATAAATTCAGCTGAAGTTTCTACTCCAACAACCACAATAACCTGATATGAAGAGCCATTTCTTGAGTTATACCCACTTCCTACTTTGACCCATGACCTTTAAACTTTGGTCCATAAGACACTTCTGTGGCCAATGACTGTCAGTTAATCATGTGAAGCACTGTGGAAGGACAATCAGAGGTGTGTGTTGAAAATGGATAGCAGAAGGCACCATTACTGCCACTATTTTGGCTGCTTCCTCTTCCTACAAAGAGACCCTGTTCATTGTACAGTGTATACCATGTTTTAAATATATACATATTGAGTTCTTGATGCTAAAAAAAAAACTTTTATTGAGGTAATAATGAATACTGTAATATGTTATGTTATAAATTGTGTGAAAGTTAAGATTTTTGTGTTATTTATCATAGCATCCACTCCCACATTTAAGTTCATAACCCAGACAATGGGTTGGTACCTCAGCATGTTAAGTGATAAAATACATTACATGGCCCAAAACTAAATTCTGGATAAGGATTGTCATTACACATGGAAAAAAATCATGAATGCTAGGTCAACAGGAAAGCTGGATAGCCTTGATTCACCATTTTGTAATGAAGGACTAAGAAAATGGGTGTGTAAATCAAACCTACACAAGTTATTCTTCATCTTTGTTTGTCTTTTTCTGGTGTTTGATATTTTGCAACTATATGAACTTGTATAATGATATCATACCAAAAGTGATTGTTTTGTTTTCAATTACTGCATCTTAAATACTTTTAAAGCTATGGTGTCAGAGTTATTTAATGTATTTTGATTGGCCACAATATATTTTAAGCTAGGATTGTGGAAAGTTTTACTTATACACAGTCATACTGGTGTTACATTAATCAACAAACTTTGCATCTATAATAGAACCTAAAGCTAACAACAAGTATTTGTTTGTTCCATAACCAAGGTATACTCTGTTCACTCTCTAATGTTACTTTCATTAACAGTATTTGTTAGAATGTTTAATATATCTAGTTTCATTATTGTACTTTTATTATAGAGATTGCATTGTTGACTTAGTATATGGATTTAGGATTAATGTAAATCTAGTAAGCTGGCCAAACCTTGCGAGTTATATTTGGGTTTACACGTAAAAATATTGTTAATGAAGAGGGCACTCAAATAATGAAACAATGATTTTTTTTTTTTTATCTTTATAAGAAAATTATATTTAATTATTTACACTGACTAGCAGGCTGAATTTAGTTTTGATCTAAACAGGTAGTTAGCTTTTGATCAGAACAATATTTTTGGTACATTTGCACATGTTTGCAAAATTACTGGAAATATACATATCTCAAACCACCTTAATGAAAATTTGATTTAGAAAAAACACAAACATTTCTATATCTGGAAGTGGCCGAAATAACTTGAATGTTTCCAAAGCTGGTCTGGGTTTCATTTAACTACTTCTGAGTTCTGGTTCTGTGAAAATAATGGTTTACATCCAACATGAAATACTTCATTATTTAACTTGTTTTCTTGACAGGTGAAATTATGCCTCAATTGTTATTCAAAGTATCAGAAAAACAGTGTATGAAATATTTTGATTTTTACTCCAATTTCCAGTAATTACCTTGCAACGTACAAGAGTACAATCATTAAACATTGATCAAAAATTTTTTTTCGTTTTCTTTTTTTCTGTCAGCAACCAGTAATTTTTTTTTGTATGCTCAGTCATATTGACCTGTTCAATATTAGAACATTATACAAAACTACTAACTCTGAATAAAATTTATCAAAGTTTGTAAACCACAGTTTCATACAGGAGAGTAGAAGCCCAAATACAAAGTTAGAAATTTAGCCCTGTAACATAGTTGTCAATATAATACATTTTTGGCTCCTGAAACAGAAACTTTACTGTTAAAGTTGAATTGTTAGTTCCCACTGTTATTAATTAAAAATATTTAAAAGTGTAAGGAGTTCATCTGATTTGTGTTACTTGTATAAATGTGTAATTTTAGTTTCTGTAAGTTTATTAATTTTTGTAAGCATCAGTTATAAGTCTACAGTCTTTTCCCATGTGCTTTATAATAGTCATTTGCATTAAGTTTAAATAGTAACTGTTTGCTGTCACTGTTATATAAAGTAATATTAGTTTGTACATGTCAGATCATCATACCTGATGCCAACTAGCTGTTCAAGTATTTCTTGTTTATACAATATTCTAGCAATAAACCATGTACTTTGTTTTCTGAATTATCAAGCAGTGATCAGTATTGTGGAAATATTTCTACATAGTGACTTATAAAGTGTTTGAAATTAATTTAACATTACATTTTTTCCTAATATATGGTTCTAAAATGCAAAAGCACTTAAGTTGTTAACATTAGTGAAAATGGGTTTTGATTTATTATATATCAAATCATAAGTAAAATTATACAAATAATCTATTCCTCTCAAAGAAAATCTTCTCTCATTTCTGATGCTTTTGCAGGAATAGAAATAATGAAATAAAATTACATTCACTTGAGGGAAAGCTATCAGGAAGATTACATTCCCTCATATAAAGTTGCATTTTCTCATGAATCGTTTTCTTTTTTTTATTATTTAATCCATGCAATATGTTCTCTTTCATTGGTCATAACTAAAAGAATATTTATGGGCCATGCATTCCCAATTGGGAAAGCCAACTAAAAAATTTAAATTCCTCTGGAATGCAGGAATGTAACATTTTGAGCCCTGTTTTGATATAACTGATATGGATGTATATTACACTTGTTTCACAGTTTGTAGACAACCAACCACTGGTAACCAAAATCATTTCAGAACTCCAGATGAGAAGATTGTTATTTAAACAACTTTGTTTGCTCCGCTGGTTTGAGCTATAGAAATTACTTGAAACAGTCTACTTCATTGGTTGTTGTAAGATAGTTTTGTGATATTATTTACATGAAATAATATATCGTGAAAGTATCACAGGGTCACACAACCTCTATTTTTAATGTGTTACATTGGAACGATGCTTTAAGTTGTTACTTTTTATTCAGAATAGGTTTAGTGTGAACATGGAAACAAATTTTTTTGATGCTGCAATAAACACAAGACTTCAAGTAGTTTTATGTTTTAGTGCCTAACTAACAAAATTTGAAATATAAATAACACATTGTCTTCCATAAATGTATTAATGTTAAAAATACTCATACTTTCCACCCAGTGGCTCACATGTGGTAAGTCTGAGGGCTTATATTACTTAAAATTTAGTTTTGATATATGTGGTCTGAAGTACATAGGTAGTGCTTAACAACAAACAAACACTCATAATTTAAGTTTTAAGCATGTTATTTTGTTTTGTACAATGTGGGTCAACATACGAAAATATTGCTTTAATGAATTTGTGGCTCAGTGACTAAAAAAACTATTATCTTTTATAAAATGAAAGATTACTGACAAATAATAGCCTATTGCAAAAATGATAATAAACTAACAGAGCAACTTTCTACTTAGCTAATTGAAATATTGATGTATAGTGAGTTTAACTTCTTTATAACCTGAGTGTACCTGTAATGGTAGTGTGTGATTAACTTGATAATAATCTTTAATTACAAACAGCTGCAAAAGTATATATGAGGCATTCCTACGTTATCAATGTGGTCAGAGACAACAGAATGAGGCTTTATGTATAATACAAGCTTACTATGAGTAAACAAAGTGGAAAATAGTTTTCATAATACTACAGCTGGTACCTGGTGCTTTTAATTAATCTATAATTAATTAACTCTTTCATAACTGGTGAGCAACCTTTGTGGTGGTCTCGTATAGCCTGGTGGTTAGGGCACTTGACTTGCAATCTATGGGTCACAAGTTCATATCCCGTCACCAAACATGCTTTCCTTTTGAGCCATAGGGGTGTTATTAGGTTACGGTCAATACTACGTTTCATTGGTGATATATAAAAGTAGCCTAAAAATTGGCAGTGGGTTGGCATTGACTATCTGCCTTTCCTTTAATCTATCAGTTCTAGATTAGGGACAGCTTGCGTAGGTGGCTCTTGAGTAGCTTTGCTTATAATTTAAAAACAAACAAACTTTTCAAGTGTTAAGTGCACACCTGCATATCATATTTGAATTTTAACAACTTTAACTAAAAAATAGTTTATAATCAATATTTTATCATTTTGTAACACTTATTTAGTGTAAAAATAAATACAGAATTCAAACATATTTCTGCAAAGTTCTGAACAGTCTCATTTGATTTTTATTTTTTAGAAATATTCTGCCATTCTACCATATCATCTATGTATTTAATGTTACCAGAATAAAGCTTATTTTCAAGATATTTTAGTAATATTCTAAAGTAGGAATGTATAGAGAACCTTCATGTACCATATGTTTCATGATTTTTCTGAATTATTTAAAGTAAAATCTTTTTCAGTCTGAAAACACAACTGAGTTTTTACTTACATGTTAAAATAAAGGAAATTAGCTTAAAATATTCTAATTTAATTAGTCTGTTGTTAATATACTTATGAGAATTCTGTTTCAAGTACAAAAGTGAACTTAAATGTTTTGAATTGTCACTAAGAAATTAAGGAAAAAAATTTATTCTTATTATCAAAATTTCCCATTTTGTTCTTAGGAAACAATGAGAAAATACAACAAAGAAGGTGTTGGGTTTGAACCTGACTGTTATGCAGTTTCAGTACTGAGGGAGTTCATTCTTCAAATTACTTTAAGTCCAGGAGAATACGAGTCTCGAGTTCAGGCTGTGATTGATAAACTTAAATCATCAGTGTCAAATGAAGAGACAATGCGTGCTATTACAAATACAATATTTGATCAAGTAAGTTTCACATGTCATTGAACTCATTATAGACTGAACCTATGAAAAAAACATTTGTAAATGCAAGATACACTCTTTAGATGATGGAACTGTTCAGAATTGAAAAAAGTACCCTAAAATTTTAAGTAATGAGCAATCGTTGTTTTGACATGTAATAAGTAAAAAATAAACACTTATTATAAACCCCTGATCCTTATATGAATGTATGATTGTTTGTGCAAATAATAATGGAAAAATAAATATAACTTTATGTGACGTGATGCATTAATCCTATTACCCCTGTCACCATTTTTAAATTCCTTTCTGCGTATGGTACTGCATTATATTCAAAATTTAATTAAACCACTTTACTATCAATATATGTCAATAAAATTAACATTATAATGTACATTATAAATTACATTTTTATGTTATCTAGATCATGATTCCTTTGTTTCAAAGGAAAAATAATTAAACTACAGTTTTCATGAAAATCTCGACTTTAGCAGTGGTTACCTCTCAGCCACATAAGCCATCAATGTAGCTGAGTATGTATTCACTAAATACATGTGGTTGACCTACTTGACACTTCAAATATTCAAAGTTCTACAACTGTATTCACTGGGAAAAAGAGATAAATTTCCAACCCTTGATGGTTGCCATGCCCACCTTCTATACTTTGCCTTGAGATCTATAACATACATGTAGTTAGTTGACACAAGTGTATATATTTATTAGAAAAAGCTCAGTTTACACTATATTCTATCAGCGGTTAATTTGAAATTGGCATGCAATTTTCCTCATGGTGTACATGTAACTGCCATTCATATTGTCTGCTTGATTGAATATAGCACTTACAGTGGTTTCTTACCTAAATATGCTATAGTTACAGACAGTTAAATTGTATTTATGTATTACTTTTATATTTTAGTTAATCATGTATTATGTGGGTTTTAAAAAATCATATTTGAACGATTTAACGATTTTTATAAGTTTAACTTGTTGCTTGGATTGTAAAAGGTTATAAATAAGATGGTGTGTATAAATGCTATCTTGTTTTGTGGGTAGGCTGCCAAAATACCTTCACAAACCCTGCAGGCATTGACATAAGCACGATTTTAATAAATAAAGAAGTTGAAAGGAAAAATAAACTATATGTGAAAAAATAAAGGTGTGAAGTTATGCATATAAGAAAAATATGACTATTCTAATGGATTTCTATGAAGAGTTGCACGGTATATATATATATATATATATATATATTTCCATTTGTTAATTTTAAACATTTCATTGCAATGTATGTTTATGATAATAAAAGGAGTTAGTGATATAGTAGAGAAAATGGAAAATAAAATATAAACATTTACCTTAAAAAACTTTTAATATTCATTTGCGAGGTTCTAGAGATTATACAAATGAAATGTGAAAACTGTAAAATAAAAAAAGTTTTTTTTTAATACTTCATACAAAAATTGCCTTATAGGTGAACTATTCAGAGCACGAATGCAAATAACTACATTAAATAACGAATATTTTATTTGAAATAGTAGAAAAAATAATTAAATGTTTTATTTTTCTGAAACTACATACCTTTAGGAACATTCTTGTCAAATTTTAAACAATTTCATCCACTAGTTTTATTTTTGGAACAAAATATGACAATAGCGATGTTACGTACTAAAGAATTAACAGCCGGTAGTGGTAGGGTTAAGCTATATTTGCTAGTTTGCATTATAAGCATGTAACTGTAATTTTTATTTGATCTTGTAATGAACATTGTGAAATAAATAAATAAATAAATTGTGTACAAGTTAAATACATTTTATATAATTTTACTTATTAGTAACTATGTACATGGTGGGTTGAAGTACACATATCACATTTTTACAGAGGTGTATTCAAAATTTATTAAACATCTTTATGTATGTCAATAAGCCTTGCATCAAAACAGAGTATAATTCAAATTTTTATATTATCTGAGTTTTAATTTCTAACTTTCGAAGGAAGTATTTAAATATCTTCTCAATCTTGCCTTTTTCTTCTTTGTAGATATTGGTGGGTCAAACTATAAAATGGAACCTTCCACATTCTAGATTTGCTGAGATATAAATAAATTTGTCCTACTTACTAGTGATGCTCCTCCTCTCTACTATAGCTTTGAACAAATTTATCTATAACACTTTTTATTTGTTGGACATGCTTATGACCAATAGAAAGAGCAAACTTAAATGTATGGGCCCATTACATTTGTGTGCTTAGTTTTATTGGTCAGAGACAGCTGTTTCCAAGAAAATATTGTTTTGTGTTAAATGAAGTCAATGTTCCAAACAGTGATGGAACTTTTTAAACTTGTTTATGAATAAATTAGGGTAGTTCTGAAACAGGTCATATGTTTCTGCATACAGTAGCTATTCCTTGCACTTCTGCCATTGAGATGTTATGCATACCACTAGCCTTGAGCTAAGACATATTAAAACATGAACTGCACTAGTGCATGATGCAATCATCATGTGACAATAATCCTCCACCAATAGGAGGGTGACACATTCTCCATGTGTAGTTGATCCCCATTAGCACTTGCACTTGAAATTAATTTCATTCTTATCCTCAGCACTGTCTTTAATGGATGTTTTTTTCAGTTTAAACTTAATCAGTTTTTCTCTTTAACTGTAGAAGACATTACTGTCATAGTTCATTATGTCATGGATTCTTTGCTTTCCTTGCCTCTTTGCACTATTTAGGACAATGTTCCTCCTCCATTTCTTCATTGTCTTTTGATTCTTACCATTCCTTTCTAGATTACTCTCACTCTGAAAGGAGTATTTGGTTTTTACTTCTTCTCCAAGCATGTGAGGTCATGTTGACATCTTCCTGGGTCAGCTTTATTCGTCCACCTTGACTCCTGGATTTCTTTGCCATGGCTTATTGGCATTCTTGGATTTCCAAGTCTCATATACCCACTGGGAGGACTGATCCCTTGTCTCCAGTAACACTCTTTAGCAGTTAATTTTTTTCCTTTTTCTTATCCATTTCCTTCATTACCTACCCTCTCTTCATATCTGAAGCCCTACCCTGTGATATCAATAGTGTTTCTGGGGATGTACTTTTTTTTTTTCAATGCCTTGGTCAGGGTTTTGTCTTCTTTTTCTCCTCTTTCTTGGAACCTCTGTTGAGACTTTCTGGAAAGTGATACTCTTCTCTCTACTATTTATCTTCCCCATTCTTACCTCTTTGACTTCTGTCTGACTCGTTTTCTTTGCCTTGAAGTATTTTTGAGTGTTACTAATACCTTGGAGACTTGGGGCAAAGCTGCCAAACACCAATCTTTCCTTCTTAATTTCTTGTCTCTCACAGTTTCTTGAGTTCACTCTCGTTCCCCAACACCATGCCCCCCCCCCACCTCTCTCTTTTCTCACTTCTCTTCCCTCTACCACTTCTCGCCATCCCCCATCTTTAAGACTTTTTTTTTTCAAACTTATTTATTAATAGTTTTAGTTTAGAGGATGGGACAGCCGAAATGGACCAATAGGACCAGTTTTCTCTTAAAACATTATTATGTTATATCTTTAGTGTTAACAATTGCATATTTGAAAGTAACATGAATTATTTTATGAATAACCTTATAACTGGAAAAAAAAGTAGTCTCACTGAAGTACATTCCTAAGTACAAATAGGTTTCAACTAGATAAATACTAAATTTCTTATTTTTATGTATAATTCTGAACAAAAGTAACTATACATATAACCATATTATAACTCTGATTGTACTAAGTGTATTTTCATGAGATTTTGCAAGTTTTTAGTAAAATTTTTAATTACAAGTCTTTTGTACACAAAATAATCAGAATTTTTAATAAAGTATTTATAAAATATTTAATGAGTGACTGAGTAAAAGGCGATGTTTGTGTTAAGAATAAAAATACTTTTTATCATACAGTTTTCATATTTTATTTGCATTACCTCTAGGACCTCTTAAATTACTACCAGAACTTTTTTTTAGTAAAACTTTATATTTTATTTTCTCTATTCTAGTACTAACTTTTTCTTTCTGGAATGACTGCAGATTAATGCAATTACAATTCTTTATCAACACAGCCTTGGCTGCCTATCCCTTTCTTTCACTGTTGCTTGCTTTTAGTTTTATTATTTCATGATGCCTATTAGACCCTATCAAAGAATGTGACAGGCAATTAACTGTGGTAAGAAAACTTAGCATAAACAGCTGATCAGGTTAGTCATGTGATGTAATTAGGTTGAATTGATCTTGTGAAATTTTTTTACCTAATTTTTTTCATTTTTATTATCTAACCTAATACATTTGTAATTTTTAGATTTTATTTAATTTAAAAAATATAATAATAAGTAAAAAATAAGACATAAAAAACAAGAAATTTAATGCTTACCTAACTATTGAGGCTTATTTGCACTTGGAAACATACTTCCTTTGTACTAATTTTTTTCATACTATGTTGGTTCTCCATAACATGATTAATATTACTTTAAAATGTGCATTTTAGAAAACAAAATATATTTCAGGCACTAGAATAGAATTTTTCAAAACTACTGTAATTTTACTGGCTTTCTAATCAAAGTATAAAACATTTAAAAAATTCAATTAGCTGCTAAGAACAGAAAAAGGTGATTACAGACAATGAAACTGGGGCTAAATGTGTACTTATGGACAGAAAAATAAAATATTCTTAGAAGAAATATTACAAAGAAAAAGCTGCTTATTCTGTTTTCATTTGGAAAAGTTAAAATTTCTAAGGCAGTTATAAAAAAAATAAGTAATAAACAGATATTGCATTTTGAGTTATTGACAATAAATGATAATTTTAATCCAAAGAATGAAATTCAGATAAAGTTGGTTTTATAACTTCTGCTAGAAGAGTACTATGTTTATGTGAATTGTAACTACAAAGTAATCTGTTGCTCTTTTAAAAAGCATTTTTAAACTTATTATACACTGTGTAATGAAACTGAAGTTGTGTAATAGATTTTTGTTTAATATTGTGGAAGAGTTTTAGCAATAGGTTTTAAGGACATATTGTTCAATACATATGACTTGCTTAATATTTGGAACAAAAGTTTCTGCTATAATATTAGGGTATCTAGTGTCTTTACATATCCTTTAACACACTTAGGTGCTTTTCTTTAATTTTTTTATTATTAACTAAGAAATTAATTGTGCTCCCTTAGCAAACAATGTACCAAAGAAGATAACATAGTGTGACTTAATATAAAACTTTTCAATGTTTCATTGTATATTTTTCTTAATGTTTACGGTATAAGGTTTATTTCTCTCTTGTAGGCAATTACAGAACCCAATTTTAGGTACAGTGCTGCAAAACTCTGTAACCACCTTTCTCAGAGTTTACAGTTTGCCTTTGGAAACTTCAGACATTTTCTTCTACAGAGGTACGGATTCTTGGAAAATGACAGTAAAATCATTATCTTAAAGTATAGAATTGTACTAGTTGTTTAAGAATTCTAATTATATGTTAAAACCACATTATAGACCCTATGGGAAACTATTTATACATGTATGTCAAGATTGTTAATTATTAACCTCAGTATGTAGTTTCAGACTGTTAAGTTCCTTTAAGTTTTACTTAAAATGATTCCCTTCTGTTATTATGTATGATAAAATTCAGAAGACTACAAACCAAGAACTCATTTAGATAGCAAACATTATTTAACATAAAATAATGTTTCAAATAGTTATGAATGATGTATTGAAAATTATTCTGTCTTAAGATGTTTGTTAATACTTGCTATCATTAAAAAAATGTGAAGTATTTGTTATTTCTTTGATGTATTTCACATCAAAGGTTAGAAGTTTACATTGTTAATATGTAAAGTGTAACAGAACATTACCAATATGTATTGAACTGAGTGTTTCTTTTCTTTTCCCTACATTATTATTTTCTTTTTATGATTGAACAAGTGGGCAGAAAACGGTATGCTGTTTTCTCCTGGTCCCCATCTTAGTTTTTGATAAGTCATTTTAACCTATTGCATCCAATTTGTATCTTTCAGATGTTGAGTGCACTACAAATAGCAATATATATGTAAAAAATGTAATTTTAATTCCATTTAAAAATCTTTTTCATGAATAATATTTTAGTATACAATATGTACTTTGTGTATTACACAACAAAAATGAAAGATATGTTTGAACTTTCATTTCTGAGTAGCTCCTTGGATTTTTGCTTGCAAACAACATATTTATCAACATGTTTAGAATTGTTTATCCATCCAAAGTGTAGCTATTATCACTTGAACATATAATGATTCATGTCTTGATTTTCAAGTCATTTTTCTTCTCTTTTAGTAGTTTTATTTCTTCAGCCCTTAGTTGCCAACCTTTTATAATATCAGCATGTGATCTGAACAGTTATTAGTAAAATGTAGCTGTGAAAATAGCTAGAACAAATGGATAAAAATGATTGGATGAAAGAGATTCTAATTTAACTATGTCAGTATAGAGTAAATAAAGTGGTTGTAGCAGTAATTTGTGATTTGTCAACATATTAACTACCCAGAAGTCCTGTAGGATTGAACAAAGGATCCTTATGTAAGATTTACAACACTTGGGAACAAACTATAGATCTGGAAAGTTTTTATAGTTTCTTTTGATATTCTTTTCATTACTGAATACAGTAAGCGATGTAAAACTATTCAAATGACAGATCCTTTTTTATATTGAATATCATGGTTAGGTTTATAGTATTCAAAGAATACATACAAATAAAAGAAGTTACCATTTATTGAAAACCCATATTTATTAGACAAATTGAATTCAACCAAGAATATTGTTGGCAAAAATCATAGTACAACATCTTACGAAGGTTAGGGTGTTGCCATTTTGAAATATGAGGTTGTAGGTCATCAAATCTTTATGAAGTTTTGTCATGTTTTTTGTGATTTATAGCTGTAAGAGGTGGCAGCTTAAACTGGCAAAATAAAATACCAAAAGAAATATGTTAATGAATATTGAATGATTTGAAAATGGCTGGATGTATAAAATGGAACTTTCTGATAAATAATATAAATTAAATTCTAAGATAAAATGAAGTATTTTTAATTCGTCCCCAAAAACAATCTCTCACAAAAAAAATCCAAAACTTCACAATCTAAAAAAAATTACAGAAATACTAAAAATGTTTGTTTCAAGTTTTTTGCAATTTATTTTAACAGTGAGAAGGAAAAAAATCAGAATCTTTGTGATACCCTTCCAGTCTGGAAAGCCCTTTTAGTTTGTATGTTCTGTCTGATAGAGTTCTTGTTGTCCTAAAAAATGTCAGCCCATTGGTGATTCTTTGTGATTTGACAGATATGTATGTGAGTAGAATCACTTGTTTCAGTTTTGATGTTTAATTGAAAAATAAATACCTTGATGTAGGAGTGATAAAGCTCTTATGTTAGAGTTTCTTGTTTCCAGAAAACTTGTCAGCTGCTGTTTTTGAAAGGGGGAAGGAAATACTTAACATTTCAAGTAATTTTTCATTCGAGGTTTGTCATTGGAATGTATTCCTGTAATGATTAAAGCATTTGGATAATCTGGACTCTATAATATTTAGTATTTTATTATTTCTTACTTTAAATAAAATGAGTTTACTTTGTTTTTTTATTATGGAAGAAAATCCTTTTTACAGAAGTAAAAGAAAAACAGTATAACTTGAAAGAATAGTGTCAAACAGTTTTTTGTTACTAGGTTGTGTGTACCTTAACAAATGTCATATGTAAAACAAAATTAAATATAAGTATTACAAAACTGTTAAACACTTCACCAGGATTTAGTGTAAAAAGTAGTTAAATATATCCCCCCCCCCTCCACTCTCTCTGTAACACACACACACACACACACACACACACACACACATATACATACATACATACATACATACATACTGATCATTTGTAGCATTTTGCACAGTACAGACTAATGTTAAAGTCTGCCACAGCAGTTATCAGTAGGTTATCCATGAAAAAGTGTGTAATTATGGAAAGGAAGTGACAGCAAAAATGTATAGATCCCATTGAGATCCACCAAGATACAAATTCAGGTAGTTTGAGAAACATTCATTAACTAGATTACACCTGGTGTGAGATTAGCTGTTGGAAGGTTGTATGTACAGTCAACTTATACATGTGAAACTGTTAACAACAATTCACACATGTATTAATGTATGTGTACAGTCCTGTAAACTGAAAAAAAGTCTTATTCTATAAGCAACTCAATTCTTTTGAAAATGAAAGTTTTTTTTTTGTAAAAAAAAAATCAAATAAACAAACAAGATTTCAATTCACCATGTAACTTTTTCTCAGATGTCTCCAGGAGCACCAGAGACATGATGAACTTCTTGAAGGATCAGATGGTGGAACATATCTTAGAGGATTTGCAATTTTTGTTGGAGAACTTTTTTCACAGTTAGAGGTAATTTAGATTTTTGTTTCGAAAGGTTATTAGTTTTTTTTTATGCATTTCTTATGTGTGTTGCCTAATAATAGCTTTAACATCAGTAATGTAAAGAAATTTACCTTGCATAAAGAAACAGTTTGTATTATAAATGTATCAAACGAAAATGTGTTTTAACATGTGAAGTCTTCACATATGATAATAATAATAATAATAATAATACAATTTGTCAACAATAAAAATGCACTTTTTTGAGAAAGGCAGTTTTACATCATTATCTTAGGAAAATATATGTGTATTCATATTGTAAGCGATAATCATTAAAACAGACTTTGTACACCAATATAAGTTTGCAAAGTGTATTTTAATTTTTACTACTAATACTTTTTTTGACACACAGATTATATTCAAAAACCACTGAGGGGTTTTGTATGAGTAAAAGTTTATAAAAAAGAACTTAGCAATGTATTTCAACATTCAATCTCACTATAATAAAATTAATTTTAAACCTTAAACTCACCAATTGTATTTCAACTTGGTAGATTTCCTCAAGAAGTTGCTTAATCAGCTTGTTTTTCACGTGTTCCTAATGATACTTTTGTTCTTCTTTAGATCAGAAATTGTTACATTATTATTTTAACAGTATTTAAACAACAAACAAATTAATAGAAGATTTACTTTTCACCAAGAATTAGTGTGTTTGATAAGGCTTCTGGGAGAAATAATTTGTAATAAAAGCTTTATATTGAAGCATATTGTAAACATAATGACACATGGATATACTAATTTTGGTTAATACATTATGCATTGTTGCCTGTGGTTATGGATAATTTCATTAAAAAAAGTTTCAAAAAAAAGTTTAATTATTGGTTCTAGCACTTATAATAAATACTCAAGAAGGCTATCACCTCTGAAGTCACACAATTTGTTTCAAAATACTTACCATCCTACACTAGTGAACATGCTATTAAGTTAAACTTGACAAATAAAATGATTAGTCATATGTATCTATAAATTCAGAGTGCTGTTTTAATGACTAATAGGCATTGCTGAATCAGAAGTTTTGTCAAACGTATGATAATTTTTTTTTGGTTCATGTAGCTGTAGCTTTCTAAATTGTTTGTTACATTCATGGCTTCATTACCTTAGATTGGAGAAGGGAAAGAGATATTTGGAATCCTTGGAAAATCTCTTACAGAATTACTCAACGTCCTTCTGAATTATCCAACTGAAAATAACTTGAAATGTGTGTGTCAAGTTTTAAAGGTGAGTTGTAAACACAAATTATGTTTTTCAAATTTGATGTTACAAAATTTTCAAATATCCCTAGTGTCACTTCAACTATTTTTTCCTTGTGAGTTTCATACTAAATAGTAGATATTATTTTATGTAAAATGTCTCTTTATAATACTCTAAATCAACAATGATCTGCAGGGCTTTATTATCAAAAATCCTTGGTTTTAAGTTTCAACCAGTTAAAAAGAATTTAACTTAAAAAGAGTAAGCACAACATAGTGGTTAGGTTGCTGTACTGTAGACCTGAAGTTCCTTGGTTTTCACCATGTTACCACTGGAAAAAAATATATCACATTCTAAACTTGTAGCCATAGATGTGTCATAAGAATGACAGTCAAATCTCACTATTCAATTATAGTAGCCCACAAGTTGGTGTTGACTAGATGTCTTTCACTTTAGACTGTTGCTCCAAAATTAGGAACGGTTAGTGCAAATAGCCCTTGAATAGCTTTGCACAAAATTCAACAAACAACAAATAAAACACTGATAAAAAGAAGTAAAAGCATGAATAAAAAATGCAGATTTTAATTTTTAAAAATTTTGTTGTCTTTCTTTACAGTTATGTTGTTTCCCTTCTTATAGGGTTTGGTATATTAAATTATTTTTAAACTGTAAAACGTTTGTTTTCATTAGCTATATGTTTTTATATCTAATGTTTATCATCTTTTTTTTTTTCTCAGCAAAATGAGTAGATTCATCAAAAAACTGTATACCAGGAAGTTATAATAATTGTTATTGTTAATGATGATAGTTGACAGGTGCAAGTCTTGAAGACCATGAACGACAAGTTAGTGAAGAAAAAGCTGCTCCTGAGATGGATAAAATAATAAAGAAAATTAAAGAAATTACTGTCACCTGTTATGTTAAAAGGTGATTATGATATATTGTTGGTGTTTATTACATCTGTTGTTCAAATGTACTCCAAATATATCTATAATTTTGGCTTTTTTAAAATAGCATTCACATATAGGGCTAGTCACAAAAGGTGTTTAGTTTAAAGCTTGTATGATATAATATGAACTCATCAAGAAAAAGACATTATACTGACATTTGATCACTTACAACTGTTAGATCAAATCTTGTGCCAGATAAATTGGTATAATTTTTTCTGTATGGTAAATGTTACAATTAATTTTTACAACCAGGAAACAATATTTTAGCCTGTTAAATATTTTTTTATGTACTTTGATAATAGTTTCTTTGAAGATGTGGGTACATTATAAGGGTTACTTTTAAAACACACTTTTCAGTCAGTATTAGCCCAATAGTTGATGGTGGGTACAGTTGAATACCTGCTTTCCCTCTAGTCTATCAGTTCGAGATTAAAATTAGCTAGCATAGATAGCCTTTGAATAGATATGCACAAAATATACAGTTGGTGGAGTATATTATAACAATTTTGAATATGTAAATCAACATGTCACATGACAAACACAGCTGAGATAAAGAAGCATTGAAATGGAATGTATCAGAACTATCTTACATTGTTTGACACTTTACAGCTAGTGCAATTCCATCAAAAACTCATTGCTTTTAGGAAGGGTATGTAACAGCCCTTTCCAATTCAAAATATACCCTAAGGTCATAGAATTGTGGTAAGCAAAGTGTGGCATCCTGTAAGAGGTGAGAATTCACAAAATCAAAACAAAAAGCCATCCATATCTAAGAAGGATCTCTGTCTGTAAAACTAACACAAGTCATGTGTATACAAGTTGTCCTTTCAACCATAACACACCTTAAGTAGGTGGAGAATGAAACAGGTATTCATGCTATTTCATACAAAGACACACTAGTCAAATTGCTGAATGCAGCACCTGTGGATTTCTGTGCAATTAGACTGTTAAAATGGGTACTGAGAGAATGTTATTTTCATATGGTGGATGGATTATGGAAAGTTTGCTTGGAGGAGTTCTGTGCTTCAAATTTGACACCTTTATGATGGAGCCTTTTGCAAAAGAAACTATACTTCAAGGCTGTTGTCAAGATGCATGGAGGTCAGATAGAACATGACCAGAGATGTGGTGACATGGCAACATGATGAGGCTTCAAAAATTGTTTTAATATAATATACTCAACCTCTTGTTTTCCAAAAAAACAAACCCTTTTGTAGAAGTCTGTAACGTGAAATTATGCATCTACATGAACGTTTTTTTTTTTGTATAAAGTTAACTTGGTGCTATCCTTTACATCTTGTAGTAAGATTTCTTTTGGAATATCCTGCATTAGGATACATATATTAAATTAATGTGTTAGATCTTAATATTACTGTGGTTACATTCTAATAGTTGTCTGTTGTTAATTCAATGAGATATATTTTGTCAGTAAAATATTTTAGTGAAAGTGTATCGTAATACAAGTACATCTGCAGGATTTGATTTGGACTATCAGTTTGTAATGAAATATTTCATAACTTATATAATCTTTTCATCCATTTCAAGGAATATTATAACTATTATTAAAATGATCCAAAAGGAAAGACAGTTTTTAAGATTATTTTATAACAACATGAGATAATGTGCTAAATATTTACACTGCAGTTAAAACTTATTTTACTGAAAATTTATACATAAATGTTAATCTATTACAGGTACAAAAAATTATTGTTGTGTGTTAAATCCAGCAAACTATATATTCGAAAACTCAATTTAATTCTGTTTCAACAGTGATCTTCATAATCATAAAGACTAATGTATTTTTATAAATATGCGTCATATTGAGGATTCCAGGTGATAGTCAAATGATTTGAAGTACCCTTTTTCTAAAGCACTTACTGTGCAGTAGTGGCTCCTAGTTTTAAAAATGTTGACTCCTTGGAAGCTGTAGTGTATACTTTTGATACTTGCTTTGTGGTTAGTTTCTTATTGGCCTGTTTTTCAGTAACATTAAGAGTTTGTTGCTGTCTGTTGTGGACTTACGAGCTTCTGACTGGGGTAGGGTAGTATCTTCACCTGCTGTGCCGAAAGACTCTACCAAGACAGAGAATTATTTGGTATGTATATGAATAGCTAGTTTTTCTTAGATTGTATAAAAGGATTTTGTTCCTATTTATACTGAGTTCTTAGTGCTTTATCAGCTTGCAGTTCATGTGATTGAAATTCTACGCTTTTTAGTTTCAAAATAACCTCGGGACTTTATCAAAACAAATCTCACTTTTGAGGTAATTAAGTTTCCTTCATTACTAATGAAACATCCACTTTTCCTTTTTTTTTTTATTAAAAAAAATTTCAGACATTTTGTTATTGTTTCTCATATATTTTTAGAAAAATATGAAAAAAATCTAAGTTTAGTAGGAAGGTTTTCAGCTGTTACAATAGCGTTGGAAATCTCACTGATATTTTTAATTTTCCATTATTTATCTTAATACCTAAAATGTTTTGAGGATAGAGTGAATTGAAATTGTTATTAGCGAGATGCAATGTAAACCCTGTTAAAATACCATTTATTTTGAGTATGTAATGTGTTCAATTACAGTGTAGAACCAAGTTATAGTATTTCAACTTAAGTTACACTGCCACTTCTGTGAACAAATTGAACACCTTTAGAGCCATTTCATGAAAAATACCCATGGGAATGGGATTACATTAAAAATTCAGGAAAGGTTTATCTGAAACCTCCGAATCCACTACAGTCATATTATTGTACAAAGTGTTATAATAAATTGTTGTTCAGGGCTTCTTGCATTCATGCTACAGTGTTTGAATAAATCAAATGAAGTGGTGTTGTGAGTAAGTTTTTTTTTTTTTTCTAGTGTGTTATAATAATGTATAAGTTATTAGGTAACATTACTCCTTTCTAGTGTGAAACAGTATTTTATGGACCAGATGGACAGCCAATTTCTTCAGAAGAAGCCACCTTTTTACAAAATACATGTAGCCCTTACAGTTATTCAAGTATAATGAATGGTGAAGGAAATAGGTAAGTGTTACTTTTAATGGAACGATGAAACTTGGCTAGTTGATTAGTCTCTTAAACCAACCAAGCAATGTGCTTGCACTAGTGGCAGAGCAAATAGGATTTTATGTTGTATCAACAGAAATACTGAATAAAAATTTAAAGAGGTTATAATTTCATTATATAGGTCATTAGTTAGGCCACATTTGAAGTTTGTGTTAAGTCTTGGGTGCTTTACCTTAGGAAGGACACTGAATTGTTGGAAAGGGTTCAGAGGAGGGCTATTAGGGTGATACATGGGTTAGAAAGGTTGTCATATGAGGGCATGTTAAGATCTCTGAAATTGTTTTCAATTGATAAAAGAAGTGTTCAGGGGGACCTGATTTAAGTGTTTAAGATTGTTAAAGGAATTGATAGTGTTGAAGTATCATCTTTTTTTGTAGTTAGTGGTGAGAATGGTAGAACTAGGGGACACAAGTATAAATTCTGGCAGAGTAGTAGCCATTTTCAGCTTTATTTTTCAAACAGGGTGGTTGGCCTTTGAGATTGGTTGCTTTCAGATGTGGTGGATACAGTTAATTTAAGAAAGTTAGCCCTGAATGATAAGGGCTAACTTTGAGTATTTTATTTTAAAGTTTAGAGGATGGGATGGCCTAGCTGGACCAATATGTCCCTTGTTGTTTTTAAATTATGTAATGTAATATATTTATATGTGTGAAAGTTACTACCAAGTGACTTTGGATTTTAGGACTTTTTCCAAAGTTTTTTATGTGCTCACAGTCAAATTTTAACAGCTTAAGACTAGATATTCAAGGTCAGTCAAACTCACAAGTTAACGATTTACAAATTATAAAAGAAATGGAGTGCTTTTAGTGAAGAATGGATAAACTGACTAACAAATATTGAGATATGAGAAGACCTTTTCACTCAAAGTGGGTCATTTAATGATTTTCTCCAGGTTTCCATTCACATCTATCATAGAAATACTTAAGGTACATTAATGGAAGCTTTAGAATGAACAGAATAATTTAAGAAAACTCAAAATATAGCAATTTTCACAGACTATATCTTCATTGTCTGCATTTTTGAAAATCTGTAGGAATGGGAGGACATAGATATATATATATATTGATATGTGTGTGTGTGGGCTTTAATTTGCTAAACATTGTCTGTAACAAAGTTGTAGCAGCACACATAATGTACTGATTTTTCTTCTCAGAATAAGCACTAATTCACATTATCTCTTACAGGGAGATTTTAGTTTTGCCCAGTGAAAGGTTGCATGAACAGTGTGTAAAAAATAATAATATTACTTAATATGAAACTCCTGAACTCTTACAATAATTTGATATGCTAGTTGTTTGTAAAAATAAAATTAATAATGATAAATAAAAATATCTGATAATACTGAATTTTCAGTATGTTGAGTGAGTTTTCTTATCTCCTTGTATAGAATTGGATGTGTTTTATTTTTACATCACTGTTAGAAAGATCGTACAGCTATTGCCATAGCCATTAGTCACTAATTTCAACTAAATTGGGATAAAATTGATTAAAATGACATAATCACTTCATTTAATGTTGAAAGTATTGGGGCAAAATTTGAACATAGCTAGTGGCTTGAATTTAAAACATCTGTTTGTGATTCCTTGACTGTTGGGTTAACAATAGCCAGGTGAATGCTGTACACAGACATAAATAGAGAAGTGTTTGTTTATAGACCCTGAATTTATGAAACACTGTATGATGATAGGTGGAGACTGTTTTCATGGAGAGTGATTGGTTATTCATCATTTGTTTACTTTTACTAAAAGTTACTTTTTTTCAAAGGGCTTTGTCAAAAAATTTTGCAGTAAAATACTTTTACAGGTTCACAAGCATCTTTACGAACCCCAGTTCTTATGTGAGCATTGTTATTTAACTATAGCTTTACTCAGTATCTCATGCAATAACTGATAAAATGTTATGATTTATCATTCTTTCTCCAGGCTTGTGTGAAGCATGTGTTGAGCATCTGATTGTTCTAAAGGTGTTGGTCAGCATTCTCTTTAAAGGCATTTTTTGTAACTTGATGTCCAGAGATGTGCTTTCATGCAATTTGAATCCACTTTTTTATTTATTTCTTAAAAAAGATAAAATCTGCCATTAATTTTTAATAGTAATGCTTCTCTACTGTAAGAATAGGGTCCACCAAAGGTATCTTAACTATATTCTAATTTATCATTTCATTCTATATATAAATTACTTGTTTGTTGTTTTTACAGGCACATGTTTACTTAAACTTGTATGCAATTTGTCCCCTTTTTTCCACACTATTTCTTGACTGTTGTGTGGGGTCACCCTAAATAACAGTTATCATTAGTCTGTCTTGTATATCTTACATATAAATAAAATAACTAACAAATGAAACTTAGTATAAAACTACACGTTATGATTTAATCATGTATATTAGTAATATCTCTGTTATTTGCTTAGGGCTGAGGATCCAGGAGAAAATATGGATGAGGAAATGCAAGCAGCCTTTGAAGAATTTTTGCAACAAACAGGACAGTAGCTGGCCAACGTTTCAAATAAAGCAAAAGAAAAGATCATGTGGTGTATATTTGTATTTTTTCCCCCCATGTCTATTATTAGTACAGTGACATTTCTGTGTTTTTTGTTTATTTTTCATTATTGGTTGTGAAATTAAACATGCGGTGTATTAACAAAGGTAAAATTGTTAATTATTAATAATATTTTCAACAGTTTTAGTTGTACTTGACTACTAAGGTTAGAACAGATGGTATTTTACTTCTTTCATACTCTTAATTTTATAGTACTGGTGATAAACACGAGATTAATCACGTACATGCTCTAAATTATTTTAGAATCTCTGAGTTTACATGTGACCCAGCCGGATTAAATTATAAGGTCATTTAAAATTGTCTTGAGTTTCATGCAACTGATACAACATATGTTAATACTGCACCTATCAAATAAGTTTTCAATCTTAATTTCTGACTTCACAATAATAAATATTCTCATTCAGTTTATGAAATAAAGATCAAGTTTTCTGAATGTTTATTTTCCAGAATATATTTATAAATGTACATTGTTATATATATATATTAATTAATTGTTTTCAGTTATCCACAAGTAACTTTGTTGCATTTATTTTTCATTTTGTAAAAGAAGTTCCAAAGAGGTGATTCCTAGTTATCTGATATGAATTTATATTTGATTTGCATCAATAGTTTTTTATACTGATGATGTGGCAAATGTAGGCTGATACCTCCTGTCTGTATTATATAATTAATTTTATTGTGATATATTGAAAAATCTAAATTATTTTTATACCAAAATATAATCCTCCAGTAATTCTCATCCTCAGCTCATGTAAGTTGAAAGCGTGTATCAAGCAAATATGTAACTAATAGATCTTTAAGAACAGATTACATATGGTATGAATTTGAATAGTAAAAGTTTTGAACTGCATTCTCATGGAAATGTAAAAGATATTTTTTATCATGTGACACAGTTCACAAAGCACATTCCTACAGTAAAAAAACTTCTGCAAAATGTTCAGTGTATCTATTACAGGATAATATAATAGTCAACTTATTGTTATTAATAGTACTTTTGAATTAAAACTGGTTAAAAGGGATTGTTTGACTGTTGTGAGCATTCTTGTTTATAAAATGTAGTCAGGAGTTGTATTTTACAATGTATGCTTAATTTTTTGTAAGGCAAAAAAGGTGGTTCCAGTTTTTGCTGCCAACCCAAAAAGTTTTTTGCATTTTTATTCTCTTAATGAGACAAAAAATATTTGCACTTTCATTTGAAAATACTTGGCTTAAAAAATAAAACAAATTACTACCTTACCTACATTTGTTGTTTTTCAGGAAACCAGAACCACCTACCTTTCTTTTAGGCCTAACTGATAATAACTGAATGAAATAATAAAATGTTGTGTCTTTAAAATCACTTAAGCTCTTTTTATATCAGTTTCTTGATGGAACATACAAGTAATAATAGTTGTTTTACATTCAACTAAAGGGTCATCATAAAATTTAAAAAGATTTCTAGTTAGATGCAGTAGAAAGCTGTTGAGAATTAACTTCTTTAATAAGAGTCCATGATCATAACGTTTTTTTTAACTTAAATTTTGTGATGTTCATCTTTAACATACTTCCATGTTTGAAGAGAAACACACATTGTATCACTACTTTGCACTAACTTGTTTGAAATTATAAAAATTTTAATTTGATTTTTTTTTAAACGAACTGTTAGAAAATAATATCAGTTAATGCATATTTAAACAGCAGCTGATCTTAAGTTTGGGATGGACTGGCATAGTCTGGTGGTTAGGGCACTCAACTCGCAATCTGTGGGTCTAGAGTTCAAATTCTATCCCTGAACATGAATTGTACTATTTGTTGGTAAAAATAGGCTCAAGAGTTGGCAGTGGATGGTGTAAACTAATTGCCTTTTCTTTAGTCTATCACTTCAAAATTAAGTTAAGCTAGTGCAGACAGCCCTCAAGTAGCTTTGCACAAAATTCAACAAACAAACAAAATTTGGGTAAATGGGTGATAAAACTAGTATCATATTCAAAATAATAAAATGCATCACACTTTCAAGCAATGTTGAAATTTTACAAAAAACTGGCTAGTATGATACCTTGCAAGTTGACATTCTCTGAAATAGAAGATTTTACCTTATTGTGGATTTTAATTTTAACCTTTAATGTCCTTTTAGCTTACAAGTAAAATACAGTCAGAAAATTTAGGAGCCTCTTAAATCACAAAATATTAAGATACAATTATTAAGCAATGCTAATCAGAAAATTATATTAAAATACATAACTCGTAATAATCTATCCCTTCTTTGTCTAGTGTCTAAAAAAACTGAGTGGGTATCTGTTTGAATTTACCCTGAAATTATAATGTATGTAGAAACACTGGTTTTGAAAGTTTCATTATCCAAGTACATAATGTGTAAGTGAAGCATGTTTAATTACTTGAGCTTTCCAGCTGAACTAAAATCGTACTTTTGAAAGATTATTTCCTTAAAGTACTAAGTTTATGATACCTTCCTTGTTGATACTTTACAGATAAATCTGACAAGTATTTTTTTGTACTTAACATAGAAAGTTTGTGCATGTGACCAGTATGACCAAAAATGAACTAACCTGTGTATTAAATAATCAGCAAAAAGCCTTTCCTTTATTCCTATTTTGAATGCTTGAAAACTCACTTCAGTCAGAATTCCTGGATATTAAAAAATATATACACAAAAACCTCATATCTCTACAACTACAAACAATAATGTAAGAATATAAAAAAACAAGTTGTAGGTTTATTAAATGATTAGTAGTTTTCCAGTTAAATTGCATAACCTGTCATTTATTAATTAATACTGACTTACAATCAGAGCAAGCTACCTGCTTAGAACATAACTAAAAATTGATCTGGTAATGAACATAGCAATTAAATATACTTTTATGTTGTTTTTTTCAGTTGTTTTAGAGCAAAGCCACGTTGGGCTATCTGCTGTGTCAACCACAGGGAAATGAATTCTGGGAACTTATGTTCATGTGAAGACTTGAGTACCCTCAATGTTAACAATATTTTTAACAACAATATATCGTGAGGTTTGGCCAATCTTTATTATAAAAATAGAAAAATATACTTAAAAAGTAATAAAAGTTTATATGATCAGTGCAGTTATTAAAATAATTTAACACAGTTGATTCAGAAGATTTGTGAGGTGTATGAACTTCAGCCAAAAAAATAAAATAATTGTATCTCATACTTTGGGGTTGTAGGTGCATTATAAGGTTTACGATAAAATCCCACTATTCAGTCTAACAAGAGCTGGCGGTAGGTGGTGTCGACTACATGCCTTCCTTCTAGTACATTGCTTCAAAGTTATGGATAGTCATTGTGGATAGCTTTCATGTAGCATTGTGCAAATTTCAGCAAAGCAAATTAACATTTAAATGTACAGTTACTTTAGTTATTGATAAGATTGTAACTTACATTATGACTTTGTAAAAAAAAAATTAGCACCTTGTTACAAACTTAAACTTAAGTAGTCAGTTAACCCCTTTAAAATACCAAACAGTAAACTTGAAAAAATATTGCGTAAAGTTTACAAATATGTGAATTGAAACAGGTGTAATATTGCTTCTACCTGACATAGTACTGCTTTGGCCCAAGACAAATTGGCTATAACAGCCACACTGCCAAATGATAGAAAGTACAAAATTTAAAACTTAATTATTTTATAATACAGAATTTTAATAGTTTAGTTGTACTTTATACATTACCAAACTATTGAGTCAATAAAACTCTCAGTGGTAATTAGTTTTTAAGCTAATCTTGTCAGGTGTTGTAGTCTTATGTGCACACAATAGGTGTGTAAGAGAAATCTTTGTAATGAACTACTGTTTTTTTTCTTCAATAAAAATGCATTTTTGAAATATTAGGTGTCAGCTGTGTTTTTTAAGTTTGGTAGCACACTGATTGGGCTTGTGGTACCACATCACTTTGTAAAGTACTTCCTTATGGATAAACTGTGAAAAGACTGCACTATATTATCAAACATACATAATGTCCCAGAAGTCTGGACCCATAGGGAAAAATAGACATTGTATTCTTAAATTTAAACAAACACATTTCTAATGCAAGTTGTACATATTTCAGGAAAGAAAATAACCTGATGGCACAATATACCAAGAATTAATACATGTATGGCTGTTAATGGCATGCAATTTGAATAATAAATAAATTAAGAAAACATTGTGTATTTTTCCCTATGGATCCAGACTTCTGGAATATCCTGTATTAAAGGCAAGCTTCACAACAGTTGACCTCATTTTGCACTTAGACATAAAATGTGGTTTATGAATACAAGTGTATTTCCACCTATTATTTATGCATTTTGTAAAATGTATACGTGTAAACTTATACATTGACACACAAACTAATAAAATGACAATTTTGTGCTTGTCCTTTTTATTATAGCTAGTCTGTACATCAGTTTTCTTACGCTGAACAACTTTTTTTTTTTTTATCCTTACATTTTGAAGAAAAAAAGAGATTACAAGTGTTTAAAATTCAAAATATTCTACAAATACTTTGTGGCTTTGTATGCGTATCTCTTGGCTCAGAAAACATTTTAAAGGTTAAGTTTTTGTCAACTGATTATACTTATGTTAGGAACCCATATTCAAGTCTATAAACACTGAAGTAATAAATGTGTAATTGTTTTAAGATTGATATTCTTAGACAAGGAGCTTGTAACTTTAAGTGTCTTGGTATTTATTCACGAATGTCATTTTGGTAGATGCAAGAACTCAAAATGTCCTTTGAAGCTAAATTCCAAAATCAGACTGTCAAAAGAAAGTTATGAAGTTGTTCTTCTGTCTGTTGTATTAATGCTATCTTGTTTTAGGTTTACAGAATTTGGAAGGATAAAAATATGATTGACAAAACTTACTACCAACAGTTCTAATCTGGAACTATAATTTTTTTCACTGGGCAACACTGCTAAGTGAATTAAAGAGACCAACATTCACAGGCAAATGCAATGTGTGTCTCTGCCACGCAATCCCAACAGGGCAAGTTTTAACACCAGAAATATCAAAAACTGTCTTTATCACTGATTGGGACTAGCAAGAAGTTATCTTTGTACCAAATCCCATGTAAGTTGGTTGACATACACATGAATACTTCATAAAAACCACAAATTGTGCTTTCCTCCCTGAAAATTTAGCAGGCAAAATTCCCAAATTGTTTATATATCTGTTTGGGACATGTAAAAAAAGTATCTTTGTACCAAATCCCATGTAACTTTGCAGAAATACAGCAGAGTAATAGTCAAAACACCCTAAAATTATGCTTTTTGTAGAATCTTGACCTCTCCTATAATTACTAAAAATGGGTAAATCCAACATTTTTGCTTATCAATGTGTAGAAAACTATCTTTGTACCAAATCCCATGTACATTGGTCAAAATACAGCCAAGTAGTTGACCAAAAACCCCCCAAAAATATGCTTTTTTGTTAGCTCTGCTCCCCCCCCCCCCCCTAAAAGCTCAAAATGGGCAAATCCAACTTTTTTGTATGTCAGTGTGTTGGGCACATGAAAATTTATATTTGTGGCAATTTTCATCTTGATTGCTGTAAATATGATCATACAGGAGCCCAAAATATTAATTTTTTAGGTTGTTTCACCTTTGACCCCATAAAATTCTTAAAAAGGCCTAAATAAATAAAAAAATGAGAAAGGTGTGTGGGAATATTGGACCAAGATATAACCCTGCCAAGTTTCAAGTTAATCTGCTGAAAAATGAAGGAATAGCGGTCAATTGACAAGTGTTTGGAAGAAGAAGAAACAACAGAAAAACAGTACATATCTCTAAGGAGACATAATTAGGTGAATGATAATTCTTCTTGCTTTTCAGACATTTTCATTAGGTCATACAAGATATTAAGAATTAATTGTGAAATATTTTCTGTTATAGCATGATTTGAGTGGATACCACTCCCTCCTTTCTAATAAGAATACACAGGATCAAATGCTAACCCATACCACCATAAATGGGGCTTACTTGAAGCTTCCTACAGATAAGCTGACAAAACATAGGATGTACACTAATTCGTAATTACTATCTGTTAATGAAAAAATAATTAATTAACAATAAGACTTGAGGTAGTTATATAGGCTAATAGTCATGACAATAATACTTGGCTAAAGACTGACCCCACACAAAACTATACAGCTTGGAGCTATCTTTTTTATAGTAAAAAATATTACATTCAAACATCTTGGAACAGATTTACTAAAAGAAACCTATCAAATCAAAACTGCCTTATTACTAGTAATAAATAATAATAAAACCTTGATCAAATTTAATATTTGCTATTCACACCAACTGGGGCTAAAAAGTGGCATAATATGTAGTTTCTCTTAGGAGTTTCTGAAAAACACAAATTTTTTTTTGTAATTTTATTCAAAAAAGTTACATACTTGGAATGTTTAAAAGCAGTTGCTATCTTTTTATTTTTGGGTACTTTCACTAGAAGATAGGGGAAAGTTTATTATTTATGCCATTGGGATGGGTTTGGATAATTGAACTCAAACCCATGCTAGATTACACCTTTGTATGATTCTGATGTTAAGCAGCAGAATCCTTAATTGTACACATTTATGGAATACAAGGTTCGATGATTTGTACTGTCTGTCATTATTTAGATTTGCCTTTTCAAGGAAAAAGATAACCTCACTGGTGCCTGACAGAGCTGCACTCACCTTGTATAACATGTGAAACATTTTATCAATTGTTCCAGAGAGCCATAAATAAATGTAACATGTGAATAGTTGCTGCTCAAAGTTTAAGCTGTGTGTGTATACATATATATATATACGACACACAGGCAACATTGGTAATTATAAATCCCAAAGTTTATGCATTACAATCTTAAATGTGTATATATCATCTATTAGATATTTTATTTATTCATGTACACGTGAGAGGACTCTTCTCCTTCCATTTGTGGAGTTTATCAGTGCACAGTCCAGGTGCCAGTTAGATATTTTAAAGAATATAAAATTAGACTGATTGAGAATACATGTATGTGCATTCCATATTAGCAACTGTCAAAAAGTCTGATCCCTTATAAGGATGCTTATTTCTTTAAATATCAGTGCATGGTATAATCATTATCCATTTCAGAATGTTTAAAAGAATTAATCACCAGAACGAAAGTTACTAGAACCTTACCAAGAGATAAAGTTGTTTCTGTTTTATACACTGTAGATTTCTATTCAATCTAGGTAATATGTCTGAATATAGTAAGATTTGCCACAATATAACTAGAAGTATTAGAGATACAATACAGTTCACATTTATACTTTGCAGGGATTATAGGTACTTTGTAACTTTACTACTACACAGAAGTGGAAAATCTGAATTCTAAATAAGGATATGGAGATTTTTAAGCTGTATGCATCTGTAGTACAGCAGTGATGTAGACACAGTGTATGGAGCTGTATAGTATGGGCTCTGGTGTTGAGAGACAGCACTCTGAGATGTAAGAGGGATAGTTTCTTAAAAATTGTTCTTTGACCAGTCAGACCATCAAAAACAAAAAGAAATGTATTCCCCATCATCTCCAAATTGTACGAGCTAACTCGCATGATTTAAAAATTAAATTCTTAATACAATACGTTTTACCTTTTACTCAACTTTCTTATATCAGTACTTTTTTCATGTCTTTATTTTAATATCTTGCAAATATCCATTAATTAGGCAAGTTAAATTTTTCAAATCTCTAATTGATGCTGGCATGTTTATTTGTTCTTGCATTGGCAAGAACTTTTTTATAAGGTGTTTCATCACAGTTGAAAGCATTGAACACTTCTGTTAGAAAGAACATCATCTTTGGTTGGTTCATACTCTACTGTCTCCTTCCTTAATTTAAGCTGTTGTATAGATCAAAGGGACAGCAGCATATATTGTAGATACTTAACCCATTGCCTTTCACTTCTTCATAATCAGTGGTACCAGTGAATTAGCTGTATGTTTAGGTACACTGTACAGTTCCACTAATATTACTAGAGAATAGAACATGTAAGAGAGTGCTGGCTTAGTCTCTAACATAATATTTATTTGGAAGAAACTGCACTTGTAATTCAAAGTTTTCATAGGTAAATTCATGTTTGTTTGTTTTTTAAATTACTTTTTGTTAAAAATCCAGTCTGAAATATCCTTTTAAACTTCTTACAAACTCTAACGATATTTTAAGTTATTGCTTAAAAATAATGGAAAATGCATGTTTTGAAACCCAACTGATATGAAGAATATATATCATTTACAAAGCTGCATTAACTACACACTACTAAGAAAAATGGAATTCATATCACCTATTCTAAGAATTTCTTATAATCATTCTATATACATACAGGTAAAAATAAAACAGTAAATTAGAATACAAAAAATAATTTTCAAGCAGCTATTTCGAAGAGTATTCCATCTGTACATATTGAAATTGCCATAGGTTCCTTAACCTTTCCTTATATGAGGTATCATAATAATGCGTAACATTCATATGAGTAACCCTCGATATATGAAGAATCTTCAAACATTTAGGGCTGTATTCAAATGTTCATTCACTAGCCAAGAATTTGAAGATAGGTCTAAACATTTGAAAGTTCAGTAGGTAGTATTCAAACAATGTTAGATTATTTTTTCTTGTTAACAGCAACTGCCTTACAATACTTGAACAGTAATTGCCCATTAAATGTCACTCACATAGAAATTTTTACAGTGTCCAGTACTTAAACAAAAGTTGTTGTATTAAAAAATAAACACACAAATACCACCAAAATGATATATATAGCAGCTCTTTCCATGCATCAGAGCAGAAAATTATGGTGAAGCAAAGGGGAGTATGTTTAACAGCTGCATTGTTTTTTCAATAAAATGTACTGAATGACTAGTGAACATGACATAAAAATGTTATGATAGAATAAGTATCAAACACAAAATATATGCTAACAATTATAATTGTAATATTCAATTAATCAAGAATTTTATGTTAAAAAGAATATGACTGCTAACCTGCTTGGAACATTGACTGTTGAATAAATATGTGTGTTGCTTAAGTCAGTTGCAGTTTTTTTAATTCACTGCAATAGGATGCTTTTGAAATGCAAGCTTACCGTATATAGCTGTATGAGTATCACACATAGTATCAATTGTGTGTATATAATGTAAATTTTTTTTTTAAATATACAATATCATTACTGTTTTATATAATGTATTTTTAAAGTAAATTTGGTATTACCTTTAAAATATTTTTTTCTGTAAAACATAAGCTAGTAGTTATTGTGACATCATCAGTAAATTATGCAAATTAGTACTATCAAAAGTTCGAACCTTTGTTCAGTAATGTGTTCCAAACCTTCAAAGGTCAAAATATATCCTTTGTTAGAGATATACTGAAAAAATACTTGATAATCTTCTTTCCCAGCTTCAGGATTTTCATGTATCATTGCTTGATAAACATAGATCTTGTGCAAGTAAAGTAAAAATGTTATAAGAGCTCCTTTCCAGAAAGAGTTTCAGGTTTGACCTCAAAATCAGTTTGCAAGACGGAACGTGGTACAACTCTTGGCTAACTAAGCACAGACTTCCCTACTGTTCATCATCAATTTCATATTTACTAGTATTGTGGGTGATGAATTTAGACAAGATCCACTTTTCATTGGCATCAGATCCTGTCATCATTGATGCTACCATGCCTCCTGGAACACAGTTTAAACAGAAACAGAATACAGCTTCTTTAACTGCAACTATAATATATATATATATAACAGATATTATATTAACCTTGAAACAATTTCCAGTTTAACTCAGTTTTTTAAATAATTAAAATAGAAGATTTTTCTTATCAACAAATAATTTCTCCCCATTTCTGAGTACTCAAATCTAACTAAAAGAAAAATATCATATAATTTCATCAAACACATTATTTTAATCTTAAACTGTTGTGGTTGAACAATACCTATAAAATGATACGTGAAAAACTTTTGCTTAAATTTGGAGATTTAACATAAATTGCAAACTTGCTCAAATAACACATAAAAATTTACATTAAATTTAAAAAAATTGACTGAATTCTTTCACAACAGGCTGACATACAAGGATATATTTGATATTGAGAAAAATTCTGAGGTTGTAGCATTAAGAGCATTCTAACTCAAAGGTTATTTCTAAGTAATCATGATTAGTGTTATAAAAAAATCACAACCTTTTTCTTTGTAAAACTATACCATAAAATCAAAAACATAAAGATTCCTCCAAGAAAAAAATTGTATATATAATTTTTTAATAAAACCATATATCATCTTGGAACTAATAAATTAATTTGTGTAACTTCCTTTGATCATGCCAAGCATTTGCAATGTAACTTTAAAATATTTGTATGTTTAACTAAGATCACAAACAGAAAAATATACATGTTATATATATATTACATTTTATTCAAATTCATAATTTCATAAACAGACACTTTTTTATTTCTGTACCTGATTTCTTTGCAGCTAGAAGTGTTTCATTTTAAAGTGTTTTGACTTCAGCAGTAATGTCCAAAGCTTTTTTAAGGAGTCAGTTATGCTTCACTTCATTATCCTATGTCACTGCAGTATTGTGAAACTTTCTGAACTTTGTCTTGTAGTAAAGATGACTTTTGTCCTTGCAGTGTTACGAGTTTCAAATACACTAGTCAAGTAATGCTCCCCCTTCTAAATCAAAAGAGAATGATATATATTATATGTAAACACAGTGTAATATAAAATGTTGTGTCTGTTTCTACATACTTATACAATCAATCTTGCTTCTATTTTAAACAAATTCCAGTATGAGAAACATTTATTATAGTGATAATATACAAGCTTTAACTGTATTAAAATTGCATAAAAGTGTAAAGGTAGTTATTAAAAATATGTAAAATATGCAGTGTTCTCTTTCAATTATCGATGAGGTCAAAACACAAAGGTAACTAAATATCACAGCTAAAATTTAAAAGAGAATTGAAATATTACTGTTACCATATTTACTTATCCACACAAATGTAGCTCTAAATTAATTTCTAAAGTTTATTTTTAAAGACTAGTCAGTAGAACTGAAATTCAGATTCAGAGTAACATAATGTGATCTCTAATGTAAACCAGTTGTGAGTATATCAAGCCGAACCAAATTTGCATGGGGTTGGTCCAACAGACCGACCCCACATTGGAGAAGGAATATTGACTATAATTCTAAATTTACTGAGTCTATTTATAGAAAATTAACAAGCTTTTACTAAAATGTACAAGTCAGATATGTTACAAAAGTATTTGTACTCAAGATATGTCTGTGAACTGATGATATCATTCTGACTCACACTCTGACAAGTCAAAGTATAAAATGATGTTCATATGAACAATAAAGATACTTTTGTCCATTTTACAATTTGCATATTGGATTTTCATAACCTCTAGAACTACTGAAATGCAGATCAACAGATGTTTTTCACTATCCTTGTGTATTGTATTTAGTATTTACTCTTGTCTACCACAACCTCTAGAACTACTGAAATGCAGATCAACAGATGTTTTTCACTATCCTTGTGTATTGTATTTAGTATTTACCCTTGTCTACCACAAACTGTCACTAAATCAATAACGTAGATTAAAATGAATAGTTGATGACTCTGATATCAAATACATAATACCATGTTGAATGACCCCCCCAACTGTATACATGTGGTTAAAAGTGGATTGCATAAATTCATCAGTTTAGTACTCCTGCTACTCTACTATATGCTTCATAATGTTTAGATAGCTAGCTTAAAAGATCTGAGTCAGGCTTAAATCACTGCAAACCACATTCATAAATCACCCAAGAAATTTACATACAGGATACCTCAACATTTAATCAAGCTTACTGAAAAATAATTCATGGTATATTTATTATTAAAACAGCAGAGAAGCACTTTAATAATTAACTCTTTAGAAAAGTCTAGTTCACTAAAACATAAAGCCTTTAATAAATCTGCATGCATATACTGTTGATAAAACTAAAAGAGTAAAACATCTTACACCATATACACATTAGTTACTTTAATGCTGTTATGACACTAGCATACCATTCAAAATTGGCCTCAGTGCATTAGTATACTTTATATTTACTGCAGAACATGCAAGTTAGAATGTGCATTTTTGTGCTATAAAAGTGGAAAAGTGAAAGTCAAAATGATAGATAAAAATAGTAAGTATTCATCTGAAGTTTGTGGTCATAATATTTTAATGATTTTTAACCTCTAGTCTGCACTCAAATGTCTTAATGCAAATAGAACAAAATAAACCTTATCTCTGCATCAACTGGAAGAATGGACTACATACCAAAGTTGTTTACTTTAAAACATACCAAACTATATGTAAACAGTGTTTTTGCAAAAACAGTTTCAATTTTTTAAAATCACAGTCTGAGTACATTTCAATTAAACAAGCTTTTATTCAACCCATTTACTCACAGTTTTCTCCATACAGAAACACAAGTGCACTATAATACTGATCTAGTTTATTTCATTCTAAGGAGGCAACTCTAAAAAACATTGCACGACCCTTTCAGAATGTGATCTTTTAACAAGAAATATCTGTATGTTGGTCTTACAGACTGATTAAAAGTTGACTTTATAAATGAAAACCATAGGTTAAACATTGAAAGGTATTTACTGTTAAAATAGCTTTAGAAACTTTAGTAATAAGATAAATAATTTTACTTAATATATTTGCATACAGTTCTGCATATGTAAATCCTTTTCAATCTTTATTGACACTTAAACTCTAAAATTTATTATTTTATTTAACAAATAACAAACCACAAATCCTGAAAATCACTGTAGTCCATACTACAAAACTGTAACGTACTATATTGTTTAAAATTCCATCAAAAGAACCTATTGTGGGTTTGTTGTCAATATGAAGATCACATTCTATAACCTCAATAGAAACTATATACTGATGAGCTAAACTAACACATCAGTAAATGAAAATTATGTCTAACACAAGTTACAAAATTCTTAATTGTTCTTTTATCAAATGATTCCCTGTATTTGATACTGAAATAGATGAACAGATTTATGTACATACAGTTTCTGCAGAAAAAGAATTCCTCCTGAATCTTGTGACAACACAAAAGATAGAGATATATTACTAAAATAGTTTAACAAAAATAATACCCAACACTTATAAATGAAATGATAGTTATTTAATTTCTCTTGATTGATTACATTGTCTGTGTCCTTCTGCACAGTTTAAAGACAGCTTGATACTTGACAAATAGAAAAGTTTCATATTTTCTTTAGTCAACTGAAACATTTCTTACTTCTTACACTTGAAAAGAATGGGCACTAGCTTGGATAATGCTTCTTTAAGTATCTTTCAGACACAATCAGTCCAGCTCTGACTGCGTAGAACCATGTTAAGACGACAAGCATCCAAATAAGCTAGAAAAAATTCATATTCATATACTTCTAAAAATCATCCATTGCTCTTGTTCTGTTTGATATGTAAAACTACAAATTTCTTTAATTTTCTCACAAACACTTTTAAAATTAAACACTTTAGAATTTATGATTATGAATAGCATACAAAATCCCATCAAGAATACTTGAATACTGTTTAATTTCATAACTATAAATTATAAAATGTTATATGTATAACTCACATGCTTCTACTTGTACAATAAAAATAGGCAACTGAATAACCTGTAGTTGGATAGGTCACAAAGTTCTCATTGCTAAATCAGGCATACACTGCAGTTTCAAGTATCATATATTGTATATATATATATATATATATAATAGACAGAGATGCAAAAATGCTTCTTTCTTTCTTTGCTAATTCTGATACTTTTGTCTTTTGCAATATCAGTTGATAAAGAAGCTACCATCATTAACATTTCTTTTGTATCAAATCAAGTTAACTGTATACTTATAGAGGGAGAATAAGAGGAAAATGTTGGCCTTTAAAAACATATATCATTAAATGCCAAGACCAGCATCTCAAATAAAAGAAGCTGAGATTGAAAGTTTCAATTTAACATCTACAAAGTAAAGGGGTATATGGAATATTTTATTGAAATACATCAACTCATTACATAACCTAGTTTTGCATTTTAGAATATACTATAATGTTACAAGATTACAAGACTAAGAACTTTTAGTCACTTTCAAATATGTTTATATATATATATATATATATATATATATATATATACTAC